ACATGTCGTGATTCTCCAGGAGGCTCATCTTCTTGTTCCTGCCAAGGAATTTATTGAGCAAAAGAATTGGACAGTTTGTTTTAATGATTGGGAGAATCTTGCAGTGATGGCTAGACTAGCACCAGGTGGATATGTCAAGATCATTGCTGGACATGATCAAGAACGTGGTCACTGTCAACAGCGTGATGTAACTTGGGCTATCTACGAGATTTGTTTTGGAGAAACAAGGCCTCGTCAAGACTTCAAGGATGCAGACTTTGAATTTGATGACTATGGTCCTGAAGACAAGCGTGTTCCACTTACTCGAGCGAACATGCATACCATCAGAGTCTGTAATTATCATGTTGATACACACCGTGCTGTGGATGCCCACCTACTGACAGGAGAACAGACAGCACTGATGCTTTACGAGTGTTTTGTCTATGAGGTAGACATCATTTCTGGTGATGCAAATAGTTTGGCCTACAGAATGTCTGGGTACAAAAGGCAGCCAATGGCTAACTACTATTACAGCACCATGCAGCATTGGATCCGCAGGTTTTCAGAAGCTCGTGTCAAAGCAGATCCTGGTATCAAAGCACCTATTCCCAGAACATTTTATAGTTCAACTTCACAGGTCCTCAAGAATTGTGAAGATTACTTTGACAAACTCTGGGAAGAATATTCTACTGTTGAAAAAGAAGAATACCAAGGATCAAAGCTTGGCGATACATGTTTGTCTACCATTGTTGAATGGGGTCATTCAATGAGTGAATATGAAAATTCCACAGTGAGCGCGAAGGAGTTCATCTGTAATTTTTCAGAGAACTTTGCTATGATTGATACAGAGGTTATGTGCTCAAGGCCCACTGACGAGGACAGTCATGGTCCAATGTTTATTTCACTCAGACCAGCTTCCTTTTCATCTGGAGACAGAAAACAGTATCGCATGGGACCAACTCTTCATGAGGCGAACTTGCGGAGGAAGGAGAGACAAAAGCAGAATAAAAGGAAAGGAAGGCCGCCAACTTCTGATCAAGCAGCTTCAACGTCTGCAGCGGCATAATTCCTGAGCGAAGGCTGAAATTTAAATGATGGCTAGGAAGTGAAGATACTTCTGGTTACAGTTGACACTTTGCTTCCAGGCTTGACTTTAAGTTGCCAGGCTGAAGTTTTAATAAATTCTGGTTTGCAATGAGGAGAAACTTTTTATCAAAGAAGATACTCCTGCATTCCAGGTTTATACGCTTTAGCATGCAGATAGGTATGGACAGTTTTGCATAACTGATGATATCTATCACAGCCGCTTTTTCTGAGATGACCTCTAATGGACAACCATTCATGGTTGATGATTAAGTCATTTCATAAGTCTGCATTTGTAGTGCAAGTTTTGTACATACATTTGCCGGTATCTCCTTCTTGTGTTTTTGATGTGAATGTGAAAGAGAGTCCTTTTGATGCAGTTTATTTTGTCTGTGAATGAAAGCGGTCGAGACCACGTCACGAGAAGATTATTCCTCGGACCGTACGCTCCTTGCATTTTGCAAGGCATCTTAATTCATTGCATTGCGCGGTCTTGAATTTTTAGTTCTTTGTTACGCGAGTGTCGTTTGATTCTTTTATAGGTCTCTGTAGAGAAAAAGCCGCTTTCCCTTTTAGTTTGATTTAGCTCAGGCCATAAAGAGCTAGTGAGCGCCGGTACATGGTATCTCCGCCTGCGAAAAGTACAGTCTCCAGCCGAGGTACATTATCGATTTGATTTTGTACTTGAGGTGAGTCAGCTATTGCTCCCTCACTGTATTTAGTAGCTATGAGATTACCTTCTCTGAAGTGTGAAACACACTGGATTAGGTAAGTACATGGCACCGTAGTTTTCTTTTAAGTTGTCAGAGCTAGCTGGACTGATTTAGCCTTGCAGTAGAAAAAGAGTATGCGACATACGCAATCAGCTAGAAGTGGACATGAATCTTGTGCCTGCTGAAAAGTAGAGCCTACCTGTACAGGGTTCCACTCCAACAGCTGATATAGTGTGTCCATGCTTGACTGCTTCAAGGCTCAAAGAGCAAGAGGATAAGACTCTGCGCATAAAAGACACTAGCGGTCTGCACCTCTACCGTGTACGCCCTAGTCACTCTTTCACCCCCTCCCCCCCTCTAAAATCAATTCTCTCCTGGAGAACGTCTTCGTGAGCCTCTCATGATTTCAGGATAGTTGAAACCCTCTTGAACATTTAGAAAGAGTGAATATGAAATTCTAATCACGAAAGGTGTTCCCCGAGGGGATACATACCTAGAGTTTGTTTTGTGAAGCACGTCAATTCTCTCCTGGGGAGCGTCTTCGTGAGCCTCTTATGGTTTCAGGATAGTTCAAATCCTATGATGTTCCGATTCAATGCTCACCGATGATCTGAGCCATGGGGCAAGTTTGTTTTCCTAAGAACCTTTTTGAACATTTCGAGAGCATATGTTTGAACATTTAGAGTGCATATGAACATATATTTACGAAAGGTCGCCTCCGAGGGGATAAATCACCATGTCGAACATTGCATTTTTGTTCCCGCCTCTCGCGTTCTCTTCTCTTCCCGCTGTCCTACCTTTCGTGTCTCCCTCCTCTCAAGTTGTAGAGAAAAAATTGGGTTTCTACAAAATGAACCACCTGGGTGGTCAAATCTGTAGAGTGATCAGGGTAGTTTTTGAGATTTTTAGCAAAACCATAATTTACTTAGGGGGATTGATTTTATAGAAACGTCATGTTCTTACATATCTTTCCGTTGACTCGAGCATGTGCACTCACCCACCATAATTTTGTAGAGGGTTAGAACCCATTTTGTAGAGATG